AGGGCAAAATAGTTTCTGCTGGGTATCGAGGGGGTGGGGGGAGAGGGAGGGGGCGGGGGAGGGATAAGGGAGGGGGTGGGGGCAGGGGGGAGAAATGACCCAAACATTGTATGCACATATGAATAAAAAAAAAAAACCTGAAAAAAAATAAGTCCAAGCTGATAGTGCATGACACTGGAAACAGAAGATTGAATGTTGGAAGCTGATCCAAACTTAGGAAATGACAATTTGCCGACACATACAAAAGATGCTCCCTTCCCATCACAAGTTTTATGGCTAGAAGAAGGTAGCAAGTACTGTTCAAACTACTTTTGATAAGCTTTGTAAAAAGAAACAAAACAACTTCAGTCCCTGTGTGTCTTCTAATGATTTCAGTTCCTAGTACACTGAGTAAATATTTTCTTTACATTTTCTCATTTCATTATATGTTTATAGCCAACACTAAAAAAGCGTACTGTATTTTGACAAAAATCCTCAAAGTTCTCAGAACAATCATAATTTTTATCTTTGTTGATTAAGATCACTCTGCATGGTTATTTTTATTAGCTGGTTTTACCATGCAGAGGAAGACTGCCAATAGTTGTGTTCTGGTCCTGGACAGAACCCAAGATGGCTGAGGCCTGCTCCAGAAAGATGTTTCCTCATGGTTCCAGGCTTCAGTCCAGATCTGTTCTTTATCTTCTACTGTTTTGCTGGGTTTACAAGAGTTCAATGAGATTGGTGCCCCAAACTACTTCCTTCTGCTTGTTCTCCTGTGCCTACAGGACACGTGCTGTCTGCCAGTGATCACAACTTAATGGTCCATTCATTGTGATTACCTGCTTCCTCACTCTCTCCCCTGCTGGGTCCTCGGACCAGAGGCTGGCTTATGGTTGTTTCTGTCATCTTTTTAGTACCAGTTCTTAGATCACCAATAAATAGTCTCTGAATGAGTGTCGAGCATATTATTTAAAGCAAGCACAAGGGTCAGTTTGCTTTTCCTCTTTACAAGTCAAGTTCAGATATATGCCTTTAATGATGAGTTTTGGGAAATATATTTTTCAAAATTACTTCATGAGATTTGCCTTAGTGAATGGTCAATAGGTATTAACAAATGGCCTCATCTAACAAAGAGTCTGTAACTACTGATATATAGAACGTTGAAACTGAAGAGGGACCATATGAGTTACCTTTTTTGGTTTCTGTGTTTTAGTTGCAAGTGATAGCTATCTTATGCAAAAAACTAAACACATAAATAGGAAATATGTTAGAAAGATAGTGCAATTTTTTTCCCCTAGAATCCAAGGAAGAGTTGAAAAGCCATGACTCAGGAAGAGTGGCAGTGAGCTCTCTCTGAGCACTTTGACAATGAGAGTTTACAGTTCTTACTTCAATACCTCTACTATTCATGGGTGATGGTTTCCAGCCCAGTCTCTTTGTCTCTCTGCTCAAAGTCTGAATTTCTGGAAGCAGACTATCTGTAGGGCAGCTGTGGTCTGGGAGAGAGAGACAGAGTCCACTTCTGATTTTTTGGGTCCATCACTTTCCTAGAAAAGGTATAATTTTCCAGAGCTAGGCAGACATTTTAAAAGGTGATTACTAGAGTCTCTTACTCTAAAATGTGTGGGGGTTTTTTATTCCTATAGATTTTCACTTTGGTCAGGAATTGAATAATTGAAAAGTAGTTTTTCTAAATCAATGTTTTATAAATGAAAAGAAATTCTCTAATAAGTACCTTTATGGTATAACTACTCCTGTTTTAAAATGCAGCTTTTAATTATTATTCAAATATGGTAGGCCAGCAGATCAGGGGACATTGACATTGAAAAAACTGTACAGTTCCAATAAGAGGGAACACAGCAGAGAAGCACCGTCGGTCAGAAGGGCCTTGAAACCAGAGGAAAAAACACAGGCAGGAGCCTTTACTGTAGTTTCCGTGGGAAGGAATGGGCCTGTGGAGTAAGCAGGTTTAGGACTGGCTAGTTGGAATAACTTCAGGGGGGTCTGAGGCATAGGGTTGTTCCCGCTTGTCTGGTACCAAGATTAGGGAAGAGTACCGTGGCCTGGAGTCTGAGTCTTGTGAGAGAACATCAAGGAGATAGCTGGGGTATCAGCTCTAGGTGGGTTGGTTTGAAACCTGAGCTCCCTAGATGGTTGTTTCTTTTGCTAGGGATTAGTTAACCCTGGGAACAGCTGGCTCTCCAGTGACACCAAAGCCCTGTCAAAGCATCAGAAAACACTGGAACTAAAAAGGCATGTTTAAAATAACTCCCACCTTCACTCTTACAGGTTTCCTGTGAGGTTCAGCTTTTTCTTTAAAATGGCCTAGGAGACCTTACCATGATTTAGCCATCTGCTGTCTGCCTCCCTTTCCTCCCTCTCACCTTCCCCAGTCACATTGGCTCTGGTGCCGTTTCTTGAACACCTCAGGCACAGTCATGGCATGTGCCATGGAGCTCTGCCTAGAATGCTTTTCCTTCAGATGTCAGCTCCTTTCCTGACCACCTACTTCATCCCTTTATCCATACCCATCTCTGCCCCTTCACTCCGCTTCCCTGCTTTGTATGTAGCACTTACTAATGTACCTAATTGTTCATTTTTTCTTTTACTATGACAAACAAGGAGGCTTAATTTTGTACAACTACATACCCTAAGCAATTAAAAACAGTATCTGGCATATTTTAGGTGTTCAGGAAATATTTGTTGAATATTGGCTCTGAATTCTTTCCAAATAGTGGGATACTCCAATCTTTAAGGACTCACAGACAAATGAAATTAGTGATATCTGTAGCAGTGTCTAACAGAATAGAGTTGTGTTCTTATTGTTTTAGTCAAATACTCAGCCATAATGGTATCAAGGAAATGCAGTTTGTTGAGATTCTTGGTTAGAAGTCTGTTGTGCAGTCAGACAGATGAGATACACGAAGTTCTGTCCCAGTATGACTTCTAGGCTCTGCATATTTGTTTCTCCTGTTACTGTCACAGCTATACCAAGTAGGAGGCCATTGACTTCTTGTGCAAACAAGTTTATTCTACCCTGATTTTTCTCTTATGGCTCTCTTATTAATAGTTCAGTTTGAAGGCTTTCTTTTCACTGTCATAGTCCACAAGGACATGCCCTTCACCTCTATTGGGAGAGTTACCTCCATCTCTAGTTGAATCTCTCTGGCTGAAAATGTTAGGAGCATCCTGGATAAGGAGTGACAGACTTATAGCCAGAGTAAACCCTGAGAGAATACCGTTGCCCCATGTGTTGTTGCTATGTGATTTTAAGTCACATGCTAAGAAAAAAAAGTCAAAATCATGCTGAAAAATACATTATTTCTTCTCTGGAAACATGGCATTTGAGAAAACAGATATTATTCAAATTGTAAGACAATTGACATATATGTTTGTATATTGGGTGGTGTTAAAGAACTATCAGAGAGGCTTAGGTATGAAATGGTACCATGGCTTTGTTTTTTAGAAGAGTCTTCATGTTTAACAGATGTGCATAGATGAAGTGATACAATATCTTGTCTTTATGTAAATTAACACAGAGATGGGAAAGGGAGAGGGGTCAGAGATGAACCCATATTGGCCAGCAGTTGACTACTGCTAAAGCTGGGTGATAGGTGCATGGGATTCATTGTATCATTGTGTCTAGTTTCCTAATATTTCTAATTCTCAAATAATAAGATATTTTAATATAGTGGTAATAGTTAAACAATGTAGCTTGTTTCTGATTGTAAATGAAACACATTGGGTATTTTACCATGATGAATGATAGTGGTTATTGCCTTAAAAGCCCTTCATGCCAAGAAACTACCATTCTGTTCCTACTTATTTAAACTGGAAATTGATGCTGAAGAATATTATATACCTTATCAATAGCTGGAGATTGTTTAATATTTTTTTCTTGTTGAATCTATTGCTAGGAGATAGCTTTACCTCTTCTAATAGTAAAACCTTCATAGTGATACATGCCTGTAATCCTAGCTATTCAGGTGGCTGAGGCAGGAGGATCACGGGTTTGAAGCCAGCCTGGGCCACCTAGCAAGACCCTTTCTTACTACTACTACTAATAATATAAATAATAAAGTTCTCTTGAGTTTCTCAGAAAACCCTATAAGAAGTTATTCTTTCAGTCATCAAATTTTTACTGAGCAGCTCATAACTGCCAGCTTGGTGTGTGTGTGGAGGGGTAGGATGTTACAGAGAAAGATCAACAAGTCCTTGCTCTGCAAGCTTTATCCCTAGTGCAGGAGATAGACCGTAAATAAGTGAGTAAGTTTAGGTGGTAGTAAGACTGCTTCTGGCTTTCTGGCTGGCAGAGAACGTGGTTTCCTGAGCCCAGGGGATCAGGAGAAATTGTATAAAGCTTTACTGCCTTTCCCCCATGGGTGGGGCTGTGCTGTTCAACAATAATAATGCAAACACAGGCAAATTATCCTCAATTTAGTTCCATCAGCCTTGTATTTCATAATCATTCTTTTTATATTTTGGCAAGGATTGAGCATTCCAATTAGTTTCTGAAGTTGTTTTGAGGTTCCTTAGTTCCTGTGCCTTTCTAGGTGCTTTAGTGCAGAGTTCCGAAAGGGCTTCCAGGGCAAATTACGCTTGCACTGGAACCAAATGCACGTGTGAATCATCGTCTCAACCTGCGAAATTTGTCCTGCTAATCATTGTGCTGCTTATCTTATTCAAAAACAAAGCTGGCTAGGAAATCAAGAACACTTGTGATTGTAGCAACCAACCACTCTCACCAGGACAACTGAGCCCGATCTGTGTGTCCAGTGATTGAGTTCTCACAACAAGTGTATGACCTGCTGTTCAGAGCAGTACAGGCCAAGGAGATGGAGTAACTTTTTCAGAGACACCCCCCCTTCCTTCCCTCCTCACCAATTCCACTGGCCCCCAGTGGCAATCTTTGGAGGAGCTGGGTTCTAACCAGCCAGCTTCCCTCCATTTAAACACTGTTTTTTTGTGCAGCCTCTGAGGATGATGATTTCTGTCAAGATGCTCTGTTGTCTGTGTTTCAGGTTTTGCTAATCTTTGCAAAGGAAGATAATCAGAGTGATGGCTTCTGGTGGGCCTGTGACAGAGCTGGTTACCGATGCAACATCGCTCGGACTCCTGAGTCAGCCCTCGAATGCTTTCTAGATAAGCATCATGAAATTATTGTCATCGATCACAGGCAAACTCGGAACTTTGATGCAGAAGCGGTGTGCAGGTACCTTTCAACATCTGAGCTGCTCAGTAAAATAAACTTTGGTTATAGATAGCTTTAGTTCCCAAATATTTCTTCAGTGGGTATTGACCTGCCGAGTGGGCAGCACACCCACATTTTTGTGATTAAAGTCATAGCTCCTTCCTGTGAATATAGCTCACCTTCCTATTTTTCTGCATTTGAGTTGCATTGAATTTTGAGGTGTCAGCTGGGTTCCCCTAAAACTTCAGAATATTCCCTCTTCCTACCCTGAGTATTGTTCATTAAAAAAAAATCATTAAAATTCAGTTTTTATTACACAGATATGGTTGGGATTTAAAGCAGATTATTTTAAACTTCATTATTCTGTCCCAAAATGAACATCAGAAATGTGTGAAATATAAATTTTTCTGTGCCTGTCACAGATGGGTAGATCCTGTAGCAGCCTTCGCAGACAGGGAGGGAAGGCAGCCACTTTGCAGCAGCACAGAGTCTTCCAGGGGTCCCTGCCCCTTGCTTGTTTACAGAAGCGCTTGCACTTTGGGGAACAAATGCATGCCTATTCCAAAGTAAATGCACAGCCCAAAGAGCTGAGGGGATGATATGAGCCAGTTAGCAGAAGTGAATGCTTTGAGACTAGACAGGAAGAGGTCACTAATTTAGTGTTAGACCAGGACAGACAGAGTACAATTACATGTGAAGCTGGAATTTTCTTGAATATTAGTAAATGAAAGAAAAGGTGGAGAAATGGATTCTTAGAACATTTGGTAGGCTGACAAGAAATTAATGGATTGAGAGAAGTTTCTCAGCCGGCATTGCCTTGCTGCTCTTCGATGATGTGCATTTTCCCAAAGAATTGTTCTTAAGTAACCAGTTTTTAAATGTTTAATGGCCTCAAGTCTTATCTTTATGCATAGAAGTATTTTCCCATTTGATAATATATACCTAAGTAACATATTTGGATGCTGGGTTGACATTGAGAAATATATTTTCTTAATGATTTTTAGGTTGAATCCTTTGTAAGTAAGTAAGTATTTTCCTGGCCCTCACTTACACATCTTTGTAGTAGAAACACTACGGTCCTTGTGTATACATAGAGTGATTTGAGACAAGCTTCTGGGGTAAAGAAAGAAAATAATAAGAAGAAATGTCTTAATTCAAGCAAAGGCCTGCTTTGGTGGATGAGCCTTACATTCTTCCTTGACTATGAAGAGATAAGATTTTATTTCCTAACACATACGCCTCTGTCTTAGGTACACAGAAAAGCTGTGGGGAATCCATGCACTTCAGACAGCAGGGGTATGTGTCTGTCTGTACGTTCACTGTCTTTTACTGGCCCTGTTGAGAGTGGCCAGTTTCCTGTACACTTGACTACCAGCAAGTGTTCCCTGAGGAGATGAGTGGCGGATATGTACCTGACAGATATGCATTCTTTATTGTACTCTCTGGCCATTTGTTGCCATCCCTGATTTCTGAGCTAGACTGGACCTTTGCCTGGCATACATGGTTGGATCCCAGACCTGTCCACCTCTAGATCTCCCCTAGCCCTCTTACCAGGAAAAGGTCTAGGTCTAAGAACACAGGTTCTTCTGGAGGAATGAGGGAGAAGAGGTAAGCAGCAGGAAGCAACCCAAAAGTCGGAAGCTAGTTCCAAAGGAAGATAAAAAAGCGTATGCTCCAGCCCAGTTATATTCACCCATGTTTTTTGGTTTTGCTTTTTTTTTGGTGTTGGGGACTGAACTCAGGCCTTGCACTTGCCAAGGAAGCACTCTTCCACTGAGCTAAATCCCCAACCCCAGGTCATCCATGTTTTGACCACTTGCCTAAAACTCCCTCTTAAAATATGGCCATGTAATTGTACCCATTATGCCTCCCTGGGGTAGAAAAGGCCAAAGGTGAGAACTACACCGAGTTTCCCAAGAAATCAATTATGCCTCTGAAACATTGTATTTTGCTTTTCCATTTGGTACAAACTGGTACTTCTGCTGAGTATCCATTCGGTAGGCTCCTAAGAATAAAATAAATATAGCTTCACCTTGGCAGGGCTTTTGTGACTGAATGGGAAGTAATCTATGCTAGATGGAAGGAGGCTGACCCATCTATCCTGACCCACTGTGAGTTAAAGTTTCTTCAAAGGAGCTCATCCAAATACATTTACCCACAAGGGAAACTTCACCTCCTAGGAATACAGTAGCTAATCATTTTTTCTGAGCCTGCTGGCCTCACAGAATGGGTCTCAAACAGCAAGGAAGGGAGAAGGTATACTTTTGGGGAAAGGTCGGGAAATTTTGGAGTGGAAGAAGATGAAGCAATAGGGAACAGAGGTGAAAACACATAAACACCAACAGGAACAGAATGCCCCCAAACAACTACATGGGTTGTTTCATAAATTACTCAGGAGTGATTCTGCCCTGGTGATAAATGGTTCCTTTCTAACAGCACATAAAATAAGCAGAGGTCACACCAAGGAGATAGGTTAAAACAAACTATGATGATTTGCAGTATGATTCAAGAATGTGACCTTCATTGAAGGTCATCTGATTCATGATTCCTTAACCAGAATAGCTCAGAATCTGAGCTATAGCATAGCGTATCTTCTGAGAAGACTCACAACCCTCAAAATTCTGTATCGTTATGTATTTTGAGTCTGTTAAATTGATAGGGAGGAGACTAACTACATACAAGTGGTCCTAGTTCAACAAATACCATTATACAGAGACAGTTACTATACTGGAACATTTCCTGGCCCCAGCTGATGAGCAAGTTGCTTAAAGTATTTAAGCACAAAGAACAGAACAACCAAAACATTTGGGCAGCCCTTTTGACCATCTTTAATAGGCTTTAATCTGCATTCGTATATCTGTCTGCCAGCAAGTGCTCTTAATATTTATTGTAAGCTTTCTGAATTATCTACTATTTTAAAAGGAAAACAATTCAACACAGTTAGTTGCCCCACATATAAACTGATAACTGAAGGATTGTAGGACTGCCAGTTACCTTTCAGTGTAGGATTTTGATCAAAACAAATAAAAATAAACTGGAATTTGCTGATATTTGAAGTGGAAAATTGGCAGATCTGACCTGTTGGATAATTGCCTGAAAGTTGAAACAATTATAAAATGAAGAGATTGTCCTAATCCCCAAGGGCATCTTTCTTTGTTGTCTTTCATGTGTTCTAGGACTTTTCCTTTAGAGAAAGATTTGATTTTGTGCCGCTTTCAATGTGAAGAAGTTCTATATTCATTTAATGTAACACAGCTCAGATCACCTTATTTGACTTGGAGCCTTCTTGTTGCAGGTCGATCCGGGCCACGAATCCCTCTGAGCACACAGTGATCCTCGCCGTGGTTTCACAAGTGTAAGCTTTACATCTCATCCCAGCTGGAATCGCTACTATTCTCTCTGCGACATTTGTCTGATGTAATCCAGTTTTTGAACTAGCGCTATGGCTCTGTCTTGGGTCCTAACACACTAACCTTAGAACTTGCTTTGAGGATTTTGTTTGTTTTCTGAGTTTCTGGAAGTATTTAGGTTCTTCCCTCATATAATTGCTGTTCGTACATTCTAATGTACCTCAGGGGAAACAAAAAGTTTACTCATCATCATTATATGCCATAAATGAATAGAAAATCTGAGAAGGAGTTTGGAGACAACTTTGCTCCATATGTTCTTTTTTCTTTGGAGAAAAGAGATTGGAAAGTGCTTGATTTTCACTTAAAAAGAAACAATTTGTAGACCTAGAACAAAGAGGCACTAAATCTACTGCAAAGAAAGGATTATGAAGTTTATGTGAGGATCATTGTGTAGCTAGAGGTTTGTGTTGATGTTGGACAGCAGAGAAGAGGGACTGAGCTGCAGGTACAATGAAGCTGTAGGATGAGAAATTGCTCTGGGAGAATTATTGTCTACAATGCCCTATACTTAAAATGAAAGAGCTAACAGGAAAAAAAGAGGCATAGTGGTTGGAATCTTTGCAAGTAACAAAATTTGTTGTAGTAAATTAATGGCTGTCATTAGCTTCCAAGAGAATAGACCTTCATTAGGGCCTAGGAGTTGTTAGACTTAACCCTATTAAAGCATTTAGCACAAACTGTGCAGAAAAAGAGCTAATAAGCCAGCAACTCTGACAAGAAAGTGTAGGGCTCCCCCAGGCAAGCTGGCCCAAGAGAGAGTTGAAACACTGTGACCCAAAGCCACATCGGTGCAGCAGGAAGTCACAGCTGCAAAGTTCTTTCCTGACAAAGTCCCTGACATACATGCTGCTCCTTGAGTCTCTTCACTTAACTCTTACTACAGACTAGAGTCCAAAGAAGCTGAAGACTTGTCCTTGTTATTCCTTATACCTGCTGTCCCAGCAGGTGATGGGATCCCAAGGACAATGAGTTGGGGGGAACTGAGATGAGAGTCAGCTTCCTTCAGTCTTCTTTCTTCCATTTATCTTCTGGACACTCCAAGATCTGAACAGGGTCTTAGAGGTTGGGACATACCAGAAAGGTACCAGGCTACATAGCATTTTCCAAGCCTGGCTTACACCCAAGATTGAAACACCACATTTTTCCTACTCATTTGAACAGAAAATGTTCATAGTCCTTGACAAATAATGGCTTATTTGTTAAAAATTTCACTGATTTTTTTCTGTATTTTATTATGAAATGTTTCATATAGAGTGTTGACAAAAATGCATGCTTGTGTCTGTGCCACCTTGCTTGAAAAATTATTAATACCTTTGGGACACTTTTTGTGCCCCTCCTGATTTGTCTTCAGGAGGCAGAGTTACTGAGGGAAAGGGGGAGAAGGAAGGACAGAATTTCCCTGAAGGTTAGGAATCAACTGTAGGCAAATAAATACTAGGATTTCTCTTCCTGTTTTCTATCAACATTTCCATCCAATCCTTTCTATTCTCCTTTTCTTCCATGATTTTCAAGGTGTGTACTCCATGTTACTCTTTGGCTGTGTCAGGGACCCTATTTCTCTCATGAGGGTGATGACTTGACTATGGAATGTCTTCATGACATGACAGGCTGGTCCACCCCACTTTGTACTTAAGACCCAATTAAATGCTCAATGTAGGAAACCATCTCATGAAATGGGTGATGATGGTCACTTTTTGTTTTCTTCTCCTCTAAGTTCATGTTCTTACTGACGCTTCTTTCCTATTTGGCTCTGGAGTCCTGCAGTTGTCTGCCTCACATTGAGAGTTGGACCAGCCAGGCCTTGGGGTACAAGCCATGCTTCCAGAAGGCCTAGGGACAGCAGCCTCAGGATGAGCAGTGCACATGACATGCCCCTTTATGGGACTGCGCCCATCAATTTCTCCAACGTCAAGGGGCAGATCAGAGTTGGAGCAGGCACCTCATGTACTTGGTGGCACTTCAGGCACATTGCTGGAATTTCTTGTATTGTTTGTGTTCTGTTTGCATTTGGAATGCAGATGTGGGGTCTCTGTCTCTAAAGGCAGATGCACACGTGGTCACATGCTGGTCATGTGCCTTCCTCTAAGAGGAAGCCAGATTTAGAGCTGTGGCCCTGGCCTCATTGTGCTCTCTCCATGTTTCAGTTTGAGGAATCCTGGTTTGTATCTGCTGAGTGACCACATTTTCTGCTTTGCTACAGATCTGATGACAATGAAGAGGCCTCAGTTCTTCCTCTCCTCCATGCAGGCTTCAACCGGGTATGTACAAAGGGACCTAGAGCCTCTCCTGCATCCGGCACTATACCCCTGACTCTTCCATGACAGCAGAGCACACAGCCATGCACAATGTCAAGGGAAGTGAGCCCCAGGACTGTGAGTGAGGGGACAGAAGCCACTGTGCTTTCATGGGATGGTAACGAGCAAGCACTAGTCAAGCTTTTTTCTTTTTTCTTTCATAACTTGATGTATCTTAGCAACAGATATGTAATGTCATGAAAATGCACCATTATTATATCAGATCAAAATTTCAAATTCCCACAGTAATCTCATGTAAATCTCATGTAATGGTCAGTTATATAAAGGTGTGTCCACCAAATTGACACTCCAGGCTCTGTGTTCATCAGGACCTGACCAGAGTTTATACTAGGAACCAGCCCTTGCTGGCTGTGGCAGCCTGTGAAATGTGGTTTCTACCAATAGAAACAGCAAAAGAAAATTCTTTGAGTGACAACTATATGAAAAATACTGATATTCAACTTGAAGATTAAGGTTTATTATGCTAAGGTAGCTTATCTGTAAAGTAAATAATTAGGCTTACCAAGTTTCTCAAGGTAGAGTTTGATTAGGAGAACAGCTGTATGCATGACCATGATGAAGTTAACATAAAGTAAAGAAAGGAGAGGAGTCTAGCTGCTTGAGAGGCAATGATCCAGGAGGATTGTGATTTGAAATCAGCTCTGGCAAAAAAAGAGTAAGACTCCATCCCAAACAATAAGCTGGGCATCGTGGTATATGCCTGTCATCCCAGCTATGCAGGAGGCATAACTAGGAGAATTGTAGTACAGGCCAGCTGGGGCAAAAAAAAAAAAAAATGCAAGCCCCTATTTTAAAAATAACTAAAGCAAAAATGGCTAGGGGTGTGGCTGAAGTGGTAGAGCGCCTGCCTAGCAAGTATGAGTGCCTGAGTTCAAAGCCCAGTGCTGTCAAAAATAAATAAAAATAAAGAAAGAAGAGAAAGGGGAATGGAAAAGAATAATCAAAGCATGGATGATAAAAAGAAGTATATTTTTATCATATTAAAAATTTTTCATCTGGAGAAGTTATGGAGGACCTACTTTATACGTTCAAATTTTTTTATAACAAGCATATTTATTACTCTTATTTAAAAAAAACAAAATGGTTTCCTTTTGGAAAATAATGGAGTGAAGCTCTATAGTTGATTTACTCAAGTTTTGCTGACAATCTAAACTCAAGTAAATGACCTGTAATATCCTGTAAACACCTGGTTCAAACATTAGCAAAGAAAAATTCTTGGGGCAACAACTACTTGACTGACACTGAATTAAACATTGATTACTCCAAGCAGACTTACCCACAAACTAAATAATGGCTTACACTAAATCCCAGGGTCTTTTGACAGGAATGATGTGAATCTCAAAGAGATGGTACAATGCGTCCCTTCAAAAATGTGGTTCTGACTATGCCCTGTGAATTATGAAAACTCCTTTGGTGCTTTAGATAATGGTACTTCGCTATTCTGAGTTAAAAACAAAATTGCTTTTGGTTGTAGATCCCTGAACAAAGCAGAAACTACCTTTGTGAAGCAGTTGCTGTGTTTTGGCGTGCTTCAGCCTAGAATTAGCATTGCTGTATAAAAGTTTTAAGGTAGCCTGGTAATTCACAAGGTGTGATAGAGATGAATGTGTCTGGTTAGCAATAATCTGAACTCTCTAACACTTTTCTGTGTCTGTCATCTCTTCTCGTGATGGTTGGCATTTGGTTCTGAAAGCTATCTTTACAATGTGGATATTATAAGAGAATGGTTCTGAGTTTGGGAATACAGAGTTGTCAGAGAAAAATCAGCAAAGAGACTGTGTAGATTTTCTTTGCTCATGCATTTTCTGAACAATAACTCTAAAATTATTCACAGGTTTCATAGGTCTTCTGTGTCCTCTTGACCATCCCTCTCAGGTGTTCCTTTGACCTCCTTTTCATGTCTGAGCCAGGGCTCTCAGTGCATGAGCATGCTGGTCTCCTTATCTGCAGGACAACTGGAGAAGGGCCTTGACACACTGGTTTTATGGATTAGGACCCACCTGGGTCTGTCCAGTGACCTATTGGAATTCTGCTTAAGTTCAGTGAGCCTTCCTCCAATCAGGCTCAAGACTGGTGTTGTTTGACGTGGTAGAGTCTTGACTAGAGGGTGAGATTGCACATCTGCTCACAAGAAAAAGCTTGGGAGAAACAACTGTCACTCTTTAGATGCAAACTCTTAAGAAAATTTAACACAAGTTCACTGTTTCCTTTTTACATATTTCCCAACAATTCCAGATGTGTCTCCGATTTTTGCTGTTGCCCACAGTGAATGAACCCTTCGCAGGAACATGAAAATAAATCTGGTATCCTGAGCACTAGGACTGGCCTGATTGAGGACATTCACCAGTTGGATAAGGGTGCCCCCAGTCACTGGAGCCCCAAGTGAGGGATGCATACAGCACCTGCAATAGCTTTCCCTGTGTTACAGTGGGTCACTATCAGCTAGGACAGATTTCCCAGGTGGCTACCCTCCTTTTTCGGAGATCATGTCTTTGGCGACTCTCTACTCAAGGACCTTCCAAATATGCTTCCTATTCCTGCCTCCTGTGAAGTTGTTTCCCTTTCTTGGGTTGTTTTGACTGTATGAAATCATTTGGTGATTTTTTCAGTCTTGTGTTGCTAAGTAATTGGCCAGTGCTTCAGTCTGTGGTCCCTGAGTGGGGATCCAGGAACAGGTTGTGCCATCAACTATCCCCTAACACCTCCCCCAAAGCCACTGGAGCCTGAGTGTGTGGCCAGCTCTTCTGAGGCTCAGTCCACACTCAGCCTTTTAGAAATGAGCATCTTAGCCAAGATGCAGCTGTTCTTGCATTAACCTTTGTGTGCCTCTTTTTTCTGTTTGAAATGATGCTTTTCATCCCAACAAGTATTTATGGTGCTTTGACTCTGTGCATTGCAATGTGCTAGGCATGCTGGGGCATTGCTTTCTCTGGAGAGGCTTGCTGTGGAGCAGGACTGGGGAGCTACAATTTATTTTGTCAGGTCCAGTTCCAGGTGATTTACTTAATCCTCCTCAACATAATGAGGGATTTGATATTTTCTCCATTTTTTCTGAGAAGGAACCAGGCTCAGAACAACTAAATAGCTCTCCAGAACTCACATTCATAAGGAAGTCAAGGATGTAATTGCATGTTAACTCCAAACTCTGTGTCGGGTCCACTACAGTAGTATTTCTCACACTGTCAAAAGGAACACTCCTATTCCAAAAGCTCGTAACTGGTGTTCCATGAAAATAGGCTTCTGTGGTCAAAGAAATTTGGGGCACCAGGGAAGACTTGGTCTTCCTCCTTTCCTTTGAAAATCCATAGTACATATTAGCAGTACTGCCCACTAGCATACTGAATGCTCTGAGAGAAACCTGCCAACTCCATTCACCACGACATTATCAAATCTTACTTTATCATGAAATTTTTTTATGTCTCTACAAAGCATCAGCTAACATCTCTCAGAACTCCCTTTGGGGGTGAGGGGTAAGGGGGATATACCAGGGTTTGAATTCAGGGCCTTACACTGTTAGGCAGGTGTTCTATCATTTGAGCCATGGCTGCAGCCCTCAGAACTCTCTTATTGGCTGAAACATAGTTTTCACCCATGTAAAAGCTCAAGTTGAACTTAACCATGTTAAACTTTCTCTTGAAAATAAAAGAGAAAGTACTTCCCTTCTCTGTATGTTTATGGTTCTCCTTTCCTTATCCCTTCCCAACTTCCACACGGAATAGTGGGGACCAGAAGCCAGGGGACTCTGAAGGTATTCACCAGGGAAAAGCCACTCTAGATGTGTAGAAGTGTGTATGTATGTAAGACAGAGGAGTCAATTCTTTCTCTGGCCAACTTAGTTGAAGGAAATTTAAGAAATGGATTTTTCAGCAGGCCCTGGTATTTTCCCCCTCTACCTATCTATTTATTGGAGAGGTAGATATGTGATTGGGTAATTGGAAATAATTTGGAGTTCTGATTATCTTTTTACTTACTAGATTACTAGCCAGGTATTTAGAAAGTTTTGCTCTATCCTTTGAGCCACGCCTCCAACCCATTTTGCTCTGGTTATTTTGGAGATAGAGACCCTATCTCCTGAGCTTTTTGCTCAGGCTAACCTGGACCACAATCTTCCTGTCTGGACCACTATCCTCTATTGCTGGGATGACAGGTGTGAATCATCACTAGCCAAATAAAATTAACTATTTTTAAGTGAACAATTCAATGATGCATAGTACTTTCCCAATGTTGTGCAGCCACCACCTATGTCTAGTTCTAAAACATTGCCATTCCTTTCCCATTAAGCAGTCTCTTTCAGTCATCCCCCTTCAGCCCTGGCAATCACTAGTCTACATTCTGTGTATGGATTGATCTCTAGCTATTTCATGTAAATGGAATCAATCATATCATATATGACTTTTTGCATGTATCTTCTTATACTTAATCTTTTTGAGGTTTATGCATGTTGTAACATGTAACACTATTTCGTTGGTGCTTTGTGTTTGAATAATACTCTATTATGTGTACTACCACAGTTTGTTTATCCATTCATCTGAAGATGGACATTTGGGCTATTTCTACCTTTTAGCTATCAGGAACATTGCTGGCATGGACCTGCTTCTACAAATATTGTTTGAGTATCCACTTTCACTCCTTTTTATATATCCTGCCTGTGGAATTTCAGGGTTTTATGGCAATCCTGTGTTTAATTTTTGAAGAATTCCCCTGAATTGTTTTCCACAGTGACTAAACAGTTTCATATCCATATCAGCCCAGCCATGTACAAGATTTCCATTCTTCACATCCTCACCGACACCTGTTTTCTTTCTTATTATACCCAATCCTAGTGTGTGTGAGGTGACATCTTCCTGTCATCTCTTCAATGGCTGATGATATTGAGCATCCTTCACTGCTTGTTGGCCATTTATATATTTTCTTGGAGAATTCAATAGCCCCTTGATATCCACAGGTATATGGTTCCAAAGAGACCACTGTGGAGGAAAAACGAGAGTTCTGTGCTATACTGCAGACACTTGGTTCATCTTTCCATCACGCCCCACTTCTGCTAAAGACAGTCACCTTTCAACAAATCTCAAATTCTCACTTTATCACTTAAATCAAGCAGATTTACTTTTGCCTTGCTTTGGGAGCACACTTGATTTTTGGGAGGCAGATTTTCAAAAAATTGAGGGCAGGGAAATGCTCAGTGTCACACAACACTTTTGACACTACTAACAAAAATGCAGAAATGATTTGAGCGCATCTCCTCATCAACTGAGCCGCATATCATGAGTGATGGAATTTAAATTTGTTTTTGAAATTTCTTTGATTTTATTTATGTTTTGATTGCAGTTGGTCAAAATCATGTAATAAATTCACAAATAAGACAGGCTTACAATATCTACTCAATTTGCCCAACTTTTCATTGGGTAGTCTTTTGTTATTGAGCTGTTTTTTTTGTTTGTTTGTTTGTTTGTTTGTTTTGGTATTACTGGGGTTTGAATTTAGGGCCTCATGTCTACTCTACCACTTGAGCTACACCCCCAAACCCTTTTGTGCTTTTGTTATTGCTCAGGCAGGGTCTTGCATTTTTGCCTGGGACTGGCCTCAGACCATGATGCTCCTATCTACCATCTCTCCCATAGCTGGGATTACAGGCCCATGCCACTATGCCCAGCTTATTGTTAATTTTTTGCCTGGGATAACCTGAAACCACAATCCTTCCAATCTCTGCCTCCCAAATAGCTAAGATTATAGGCATAAGCCTCTGAGCCTGACCCAAATTCACTGAGTTTTAAATGAGCTGGGTATTAGCCACTCACAAGATTCAGAAAGAAGAACAGCCTCTCCTTTCAATAATGCAGTGCCCACTGAACATGGTGTGTATTTGGTTTTAGGTGATTTCTGTTAGTACCATATGAAGCCGATATGTTTCTGTAGTTAACAGCTGGGGAGGCATTCTGTGCCCTGGTGTGTTTATTTTCCTATGACTATTCACAATGAAGCTCATCCCACATTTTGTATAAAGGGGGTTAAGTGTAAATATTACCTGCTCTGTTGTTTCCCACATGTTTAAACAAGCATTTCAGACTCCTTGACAACTTTTCTGTTTCATCTCATCCTACCCACCAGACATCTTACATAACAGTCACCAGGGTTGGGAATGAGTATTCAGTTTCTCTGGTTGGCTCTCTAAGAAATAATTGGAGATGTCTTATGTATTCTCTTTGCTTTCTTTTCAGAGATTTATGGAGAATAGCAGCATAATTGCTTGCTATAATGAACTGATTCAAATAGAACATGGCGAAGTTCGCTCACAGTTCAAATTACGGTATGTAGCAAAATAAGGTGGTGCCTTGAGGTTAATCATTCTTTAGAAAGTCTTATCTGTCAACAAACTTATGTTCACAAGCTCATAGCTACATCTCAATAGATTTTGAAGCTTATTAAACAGGTCATGAAAGGTAGCCAACAGCAGTGTCTACCTGGGGACCCCTTGCTTCGGTGCAATTCCATGGAAAGAAAAATTTCTTCCTTTGACATCTATTTTAAGCTTTTTACAATAACTTAAAAATCATGAAATTTAATGAACCTAACAATTTCATGAAGTCTGTTTGTGGCCTCAATGCTACAATGCATGAAGTATCTTCAAGAATCTTCAAGGGATCTTAGGTCTCTTTGCAGGTACACCTCACTTTAAAAGCAAGCTTCTCACTGGCTCAGCTTCTGGTGGGTTTCTCCTAGTGTCTCTGCTGGACAGTCCCTGGGCCTGCTTCTGGGCTGTCTACCAGGGTTCTAGCATCCCCCTGGTTTGGCCCAGGCTCTGCTCTGGCTTGCTGTCAGGATCCTGACCTTTTCAACCTGCCAGAGATGTTGGGCGGAAGGAGGCTCATCTTCCTTCATGGGTCTCTGATTCTTCGTGGAAGAATCAGACTTCAGTGCTTCGGCATCCTGCAGGAAAGTCTCTACATGGCTTCTCTCTCTGGCCAACTGAGAGGTAGCTAGTAGCTTCATGCCAAAAAAATAGTCAAGTTAGTCTCTCCCTGTAATGATTGTACTTCTTAAGATAACAAAACCATTTTTAAATCTAATCCTCCTCTGTCCCTGGAAATCAAAATGGATTGGTATAAACCTATCGAAGCAGGTTCCCCCTGGGCACACCCTGGTCTGGAATTTTCTCTTTGGTGAACATAGAGATCTAAGAAATAAAATATTAGGATAAACAGCATTTTCTTAGATGGAAAAGTATTTTAAAAGAATGTCAAACCAATAGGAATTCAGATCTTTGGGGAATTTTGATGTTTCAAAGTCTCAGGTAAGGAACCTTACCAAAGACTTTTTGAATGCGTAAGTAAGTTAAATCCCTTGGTTTCTTTTTTTCTGTACATTTATTAGTTTTAGAGATTTTCATAGAAGTTTTCCAGAAAACCACATTGTCTTTACTTTGGTATATATTATTTGGTATATAATATAATATATATTATTTTTATTCATGGGAGTCGATATTGCTTTTAATGGACTTAGTACTTTTATTTTAGATGTTTTTACAATAAACAAAGTTGGAATAAGAGGGATTTTGTTGAGGCTTAATTCTTTAATAAATAATGAACAGCCCAACACTTCATTGGTGCAACAGGCAGTTCTCTTGCTTTATTTTGAATAAGTACTTCTGTTTTCTAGGCAGCAGTAAATGTGATGACTCATATTGTATGTCAGGATATGAATTCTGCAGGAGCTATGCACCAGGGGCTGACTCAGGGAAGTTAGTGGTGTTTTAACCATGGTAAGCCGGATACCTGCAGGCCTGACAAATTGAAATACACATCTCAGCCAACACAGGGGTGTAAAGAAAAGGCTTCAGGTCTTTGTGCTGCTAAAAGCTTCTCAAGGACTTAACACATTTAGAACTCTGCAGGTTTCTAAGTACCTAGCGCCATGTTAGTACTATAACTTCTCACTCTTCATTGCCTTGAACTGATAGAGCAGTTGGAATGAAAAGCCTTAGGTTCTCAATACAAATCATTGTGAGGTTGGTGAATGGACTTAACCCAAGGAGGGCTTGCCTTGCTCTTGGATCCTCCTTTACTTTCAACACCAGCTTACACTGTTGCTTTATATCTGGTCCGCCTTGACCTTAGCTGAGTTCTTTTTCTTTTGGGGTGAGAGTGTGTACATATGTGATTTGAATCTCACCGGGTCTGCCAAATCTGAGCCCAACTGATGGGAGGACCATGACTTAGACCATGACCTCCCTCCAGCTCTTTAGGGCATTCAAGGACATCTAAAGCATCTACCTGCACCCCAGGCAGGCAAGCGACTATGTCATCTGTTACAAACTGGGAAATGAGCTCTTAGTTACACAATGCCAGAATAATTATAGTTTAATTATGTAAGAATTTTCCCTACAATTCCACCCCCAGCTAAAGCTAAATATGTAACATGACTGTCATTCTGCAAGGACAGTCTGTGCTGCAGGATGATGTCGAATGTTGAAGGTAGATGCTTCTGTCCAGGACTTGATGCATGGTGACTGTCTTTACTTAGAAAACAAAATCATATGAGTCTGGGCTTGTGTAATAATTTGCTTTTCCCTCTTAACCTTCAAAGCCCTAAGAAGGCACAGAGGAAATAACCAAACAAAATATGGGGTCTAATTTTAAGATTCCTTTAGGTAGAATAACTTTTTAAAGATGAAGTATAAAGATCACATTTCTGTGTGCATTTGATAAATTACTTTGCTGAACAGAAAAATTGATGAAATGCAAAACATCTAGGATAATCTGAATTAAATGGTGACCATTTATCTCTTCTAGTGTCTCTATATTATGGAAAGACCTATTTCATCTAAATGAAGATAATGGCTTAGCTACTTATCAGGAGTTTCAGCTGATCAGTGATACTAATGCAGGTCCAACTACTCTTTCCATCATCACTCAGTCTAGTAGTTACACCCAAATCATCATGCTTTCTTTATTCCAAATCTTAAGATGGTATCGGTTCTCAATTTAGAAAGAATTAGTTTCCAATGGGCCAAACTCTGTATTTGGTGGGATACCACATCTCTCAGTATTAACAGATGTTTGCAGAACTTTTATTTCACATGGGCTCTTTATAACATCCATTGTGGTACAGGAATGACCACAAGCTGTGAATGCTTAAAATAATCAGCCCTTCTGCATCCTGCCCAGGAACTAGTGCCAACAAGTAGCAAGCCCATGATTCCTTTACCTCATCTACTCTCCTCCCTGCCCATTCTGGACCTCTATTTGGATGTGAACTTGTTCAGAATCTCTTCCCTACAAGCCACCACTTTGTCCAGCCCTGAAAACATTGAAAGCCAGGGGGCTCTTGACATGATCACAGTTGTACAACATGTTGGTGGCAGTGCTGGAGAAGAATCAGGTGTCCTATTGTTCAGCATTGTGCTCTTTGCACCTTATTGTAGCACTGTGCTACTTACAGACTTTCTACCTACACCTCTGTAGTACTTGCCTTTTCCCTGTGGACCTTCAAGGCCCTAAGATGGTAAAGAGGAAAGGGTTACACTGCCCTTACTTCATGGGTTTCCATACCTACCTATATTACTTTCCTTTTCCTGTGTTTCTTTTTCCAATTTTGCAACTTTCTAACCTGAAGGATAAAAAACATAGACATTTAAGATGCAGTTATATGGTTCCCGAGAACAAAAAATTAATAAAAAGCTAAGATACTTCTGTCTGAAGAATATGAATAATTAATACAAGCAATTAGGTTCCCAAACTCTAGGAACATGACTCAAATTGATCACCTCATTTTGCTGCAGGTTTATTTAAATAGCGCCATCAACCAAAAGAGGTTGAAAGCTCAAACAAACATTGTAGTCAGTTGTAGTTGTCACGATGAGGAGAGGAAGGAACAAAATCTGCTTTTCCTTCCAGTGTCCTTGCCCATCAGCTGTCAGTGTAAGGTATAATGGGCATTATACCTGTTGAGGATTTTCTGCTTTGTGGATAATCATGAAATGAATGTTTAATAGGTTAATTCTAGAAGTTGGGCGGAGGGCTTATATAAAGCCACCTTTTGAACTGACAAAATGATGCTAGCCCAAAGTACCTGTTTACACTCTTAGTTAAGATACACAGGTACCTTAGAGAACATATTTATGCAAGAGTGGAATTTCTCATTTGATAAGATGTGTTAATGAGAACTTAATTATCCAGCTCTCAAGTTGACAAATCAGCCCACAGAGAGTGTGTTTGCCCATGCATAACTTGTGGAAGGCAGTTACTGCCCAGAACTGCTTTCCTGTAGAGCTGAGCGTGTTCTGGATCAGGTGCCAATAAGACTGGTTCTTGCTTGCTTCTCAATAGGCAGTGCGATGACCATGTTGGTAACGGTTTTATCAGCTCTTACTCTTTTTCTTATTTTAAATGACCATGTTTACAAATGCACTGATGGTATTAGGACAGTATACAGTTCAAATTAAATGGATGGGTAAGATTGAAATAAAGAAACACTCTGCACTGCCCAGGGATGTCAGTCAAGTGAGGCTGGTTCTCTCCTCTCCCTGCTCACCCACAGCATGGTTACTTGTTTTATTCACTGTCACAGGCTGATGATACTTTCATCTCTGCAACTATAGAAACACCATCCGTCAGTGAGCTAAAATCCTTCATTCCACATTCAGGTTACCTTGCTGTTACTGAACACTATTCTTGGTTTGACATTTCAGGTATACTCATGAGAAAAGGCAGGTTACAATTCATTTTTCTCTTCACCAAAGGTTTTTGAAAGCCTTAGAGAACAAAGAAATACTACTCTATAATCTTACAAATAATAATGGCTACCATGTGTTGAATTCTTACACAGTATGGTCCCAGGCACTTTGAGATAAGCCTTGCATAATTCTCTGTTCTGATCATTACTAACCCCTGTGGAACACATATTATTATCCTCGTTTTCTAGATGAGAAAACCAAGGCCAGCAAAGACAAAAAGTTGTCCAAGATCCTGTAGCTGGAAAAATACAAAATCAAATTTCACCCACGGCTGCCTGTGTTTTTCCTTGTAAACAGATCAAAACAGGGCAGCAAAGTTAGACTCCTTTGATGAGTGGAAAAAATAACATTGTAAGAGTTTGTTTTATAAGAACAAATATCAGTGCAATAAATCAACAGTTTTCTTTTTTCTGTTTGTAATGTGTACAAAAGCCTTTGCTGGGATTGTTAAGACAGTCAGTATAAATAACAGAGCCCTAGCTACATTCTTGTTGTGTTGGGTAGTAAATAACTTACTGTATTTGGAGTTGCTCTAGATTTAGAAGTTAGTTAAAATTATAACCATATATTGAGAGCCTGATTTCAAATATCCTACATATACATGGGGAAGTTGGCAAAGTGAAAAAGTACCACCTAGAAAGCTGCCCAGGTACAATGAACTGGGCAAGGGCAATTCTGCCATGTTTGCCCTTCTCCAAAGCAGAGGGTATGGTTAGAAGCAAAGTAACATCACAAAAGTAAGAAAGGAGAGAAACAGGTTTCTATGTTGTAAGGCCAGAATACCTCAGAGCCAATCTGGGTTCTCCCAGTTGATGGGGACTCACCCTTCTCCATGACCACTTCTGATGCAGAAAATATGGGACTTAGAAGACAGTCTCATCTGCATTTTTGTTCTCTTGTGTCCATGTTGAAGTTTCATTCAGCACGCATTCAGTCCATTCAGATTTTGCTAAATTACAGTTCTTTTTTTGAATCATATACACAGAGATATATGCTGTTCTTTATGCATTCAATTTGAAAGATGACTTTGTTTTTTCAAAACAGATTAGTAACTGTTGTGATCTGTAATAACAAAAAGTACATGGTTCCGATGAATCTGGGATCTGTTTACTTTGTAACAGATAAAATGCAAATGACTTTTATAGAAGAACTGATGTCAGTATTCTGCATCTTTCAGAGCCTGTAATTCAGTGTTTACAGCATTAGACCACTGTCACGAAGCCATAGAAATAACAAGCGATGATCATGTGATTCAGGTATGGAAAATAACATTTCTATTATTAGATATCAAAATAGAACCTTTGAAGTTTGAGCCACCCTTTTCTCAAGTGTGTTCCCATAATTCTCACATTTTAGCACATTTTCTTTGAAGAAATGAAAGTCAAAGTATGCAAAGAATACTGATAGACTCAAGCTAAGAATTAGATATTCAAAACAGAATAAGACTTAGTAATTCAGATCAGAACCTGTGATTTCTTTGACAGAGATGGCATAAATTCTCTGGGCCATCTGTCAAGTCAGAATTTTCTGAGAAACACACCAAAATTATAAAGCAAATGCTTATAAATGCCTATAGGAACAGAATAGTTCCAGAATTCTCATTTATCTGCCTGTAGTTGATAGTCTAATTATAAAGCACTCTTAGACTAATGTCATCTTCCTAAGGAAGGAAATGTGTAGGGTAGACAAACCTTTACTATACTTAAAGAATACTCTGAAATATAGCTGTTCCACTGTGGCACAGGCCCGACTGCAGTTAGTTTGCAGAGTGGCACTGCATGTGAGGAGCACTTTCTGTCATCAGTAGAGCACCAAGACAGTGGTCGGCACACCGTGGCGTCTCCCTTTGTCTCCTCTGAAGTTTCCCAGTGCACAGGCAGACATGACACGCCTTGCATCTCCTGACAGTGAAATCAGTGGCCCACCACGCTTTGGCCAAGTCATTAGTACTTTAGGCATTAGGTTATCTTATGCCCAGAGAAGAAGGAGACATGCAGGTCATCTCAGCAGCGTTCAGGGATCAATAGCCAGGGGTCTGTGGGGCCCAGTGAGCAGAAGCTATGCTAGGAGAAATACCCCACCCTGCCCAACCTCCACCAGGGAGAGCAGTGCCTGTACTATGTAAGTGATGTGCCAGGAAGGGTCTGGAAATTTATGAAAACCATACCAGGACTCCTTTTCTTTAGCCACCCCCATAGCATTTGATGACAAGAGCATTTTCCTGACCCCTTCAATTCTTGGGGTTAATTGTGTTTGTAGAAGCTATGTTCCCAAGGAAATAGCTCCCCATGTGTCCTTGTGTCACCCAGTTCAGGGTGCAAGTGATTAGAGTTGGAGAGAATGTTTCTGAAGCAGCACATGGATGGAAATTGTGCTCCCAAAAAGCCATGACTCAGGTGCAGGGTGCTCACATTTTCCCCACATTCTGCATTGCTTGTCCCCTCCTCTTGACTCTCATCTGGTGACTGTGCCTCCTTGAAAAGAAAGCAGAGGGTAGGGGCCAGAGCCCAGAGTCAGCTGAAGAGATAGCTGTAAATTCCAAGACCCACAGCAAAATTCTGCATTGAAACCTCTGACTCTGCTGATCTCTGAGTACACAGTGGGGCTTCTCTCTTCTCACTTGTCTGCACCCAGGTTTGAAGGGTGCAGACCAGAAGTGGCCCCAATCATAGCATCAATTAATAGATCATGGCAAGTAGAACGCAAACAGGTGTGAGATCAAATTGCCACCTTAAGATGTGACTAATATAAGCCAGGGCCTGTTGAACTGAGCCCTAATTTGTTTGTTTGTTTATTTTCTGGTGTGGGAATGGCATACAGGGCCTTGTGCATGCCGAGCTACATCCAGAGCCCTGATTTTTTTTTTTGTTTTTGTTTTTGTTTTCTGTTTTCTTCTGAGTCTTTCCTTATTTCTTGGGGGTGAGTGAGGTCTACCAGAGGCTTGGACTGTTAGATGAGGGCTTCCTGCTCTTTTCCTGGTAAAATTTATTCTTATTTCTCACAAGGAACCATCATAACAGTTGAATGAATAAATGACTGTCCAGTATGTGGGGGTTTGGAGAAGGTGGGCTGTGGTACCTGCATTCTAAAGCACTTGTTGAGGAACTTCCTGTTCCACACTCCTGTCATAGCCAGCTCCCTGTGGAGCACACTGACTGTAACCCTTCCTGTTCACAGTATGTCAACCCAGCCTTTGAAAGAATGATGGGTTACCACAAAGGAGAGCTCCTGGGGAAAGAAGTCACTGACTTGCCCAAGAGTGACAAGAACCGAGCAGACCTCCTGGACACCATCAATACGTGCATCAAGAAGGGAAAGGTGGGTGGAGCCAACAAAATCAATGCATGAATCCTCTCCCCCAGGCTTTCTTTCCTGGAAGTTTTGATGTTTCATTCTTAAGATCAGCTTCCTTAATAACATCATAATTAAGTGAAAGACCTTTGATGCTTGCAAAAAGAGCTAATGGGTTAGTTAATTTTGGATTTCAAGTGAATCTGGCGCTTATGATGGTACATGCACTGATGGTTTTGTGAAATGACCTTTCACTCTATGCATGAATAAATTCCACATTTTGTTGCTAGAATATTGTCTGTCTTTGAGCAGAATCTTCCCAGACAGCTGCTATGCTTTTTCAGCTTATCCATATGGGGGGACTAGAGGACTTATTGTCAGTATTGAATGGTAGACTCAGCTTTTTGTCAGTTATCCTTTCTTCAGTTCTCTTTGCTGATCATTGCTCAATGTCTACAGGTAGATCTCGTCTCCCTACCTGTTGCCCCAGTGCCTTCCATGTCATCTGGGGAGATGAAGGCATGGCAGAAACACTGGAGGAATTTCCCCATAGCTTATCCTCTGAGTGGGAACTGCCTGTGCACTCTCCTCTCAGTATTTGGAATGCTGCCTCACATACTATTTCTTTCTTCATTTCTCTGCTGTGCAATACTTCCATAAGCATTGTCTTCATTGAATGAGGGGCCATTTAATAGAATAAAATAAAGATGGGATTATAGAGATGGCCAAAGTTATTTTTTTAAAAATTGGAGTAATGAGACTTAAAAGGAAATAGGATGTGGTAAAGTACTCCAAAGGGAAAAAAAATCACCAAAAGAATCCAGCCACACTTCTGGCAACCCCAGTGTGCATACTTACTAGCTACATCATATGTGAGAGAGCAGGCAAGAAACTCCCAGAGAATCTCAGCTTCTGACCTCACCACTCCCTCCTAGAAATCACGGAGGTGCCCAAGGTACCCCCTGAGGTCTCCTGGCTCTTTATCTCAACTGGATGCCCAGGGTCCAGAGGCAGCAGGAATCTGCACCCTCCCCTTAGCATCATCTATGGACATTGGAGGAGCCAAACTAGCTGCAGAGATGCCTTGGCTGAGAGGCCCCTAGAATGTTAGAAAGCTGGGGCTTCAGGGAGGCTTAAAGAGACACAAATTCATAACCAGATCCTCTGCTTTCTCATGTGGGCAAGTTAGTAGAATCCCTGAGCCTCAGTTTACCTATCTGTAAATTATGTATGACAAATCGTGCCCCCAGGTTGTTGTGAAGATTTGTGTGTGTGTGTGTGTGTTGTGAAGATTTTGAGAGCAATGTCTCAAATATGGTGCCAAGGCTCCCTGAGGGCTGAGTGTGAGAATTCCACCCATTGATCAAGTGTCCTGGGACCCAGGACAGGCAGCCTAGCGGTGGACACGTTGACCTTGTGGTGGTCTTGTCTTTATGCATTGTGACCATATCAACATCACAGTGGGTGCAACAATACAGCAGAGTTGTGTGAACTGTAATGACAGTGTGTGGGAACTTCTGACTCAGCCTAAGATGCTCTGTGACATAGCTATGGCCACAAATGAAGGATCTTAAGAGTTCTCTTTGTCCATGTAGGAGTGGCAAGGGGTTTACTATGCCAGACGGAAATCCGGGGACAGCATCCAACAGCATGTGAAGATCACACCAGTGATTGGCCAAGGAGGGTGAGCGAAAACTCTTCAACTCTTTCAGCTGCAGATAAGGACTCAGGCCCTCCTGGGCACTGGGTTTGCCCATGGAAATGCCAGTGTAAGCCTTAGGTACACACAGGCAGTAGGGTTGTACCAGATATAGTATGTACTAAGATACTGCCACCTGGCCACCAGCAACCTCAGACATGGTTCCCCTCCCCTGTTTCCTGTTTATGGTCTTTTATGAAGCACCTCCTGCCTCCACCTGCTCACATAGGGTCCCATTGTTCCCAGCCCCCTCTGAGGGGGCTTGATGTGCAGACAGGCTGTCCTCTTAACAAAAAGTGATCTTCCCTGGGGGCTCCTGACTTCTTTCCTCAGCCCACAGGGAGCTGACCTGCTCTCCTTCTTGAGGCCCTGGCCCTTCCTGGTCCTCTCCAGGCTACATCTGTGCTTATTCCACAAGGAGTCAGAGAGCCCTGGAGGCTACTGGCCTGGGAGGAACAGTGTCTGATCAGCAGGTGAGGGCATCCAACTCTGTGAAATCTCAGGTTGCCAAATAAGCCTGTTTGTTTTGTGGAGAGATAAGGAAATATACATTTTTTTTCCTTCTCTCAGTTAAATTTTGTGAGAAGATTCACAAAGCCAGATGAACACCTTACAGTTCTTCACTGATGAGCCTTTCTGAACCAGCTCAAAGGTCAACACTGCTTGATAGTTTGAGTTTGTAAAGGACACACAACATGTGACATCTTAGAAAGTTTATGCCAGTTATTGTCAGGAAAACTGCTATCTCATTGTAAAATCTCCCCTCTAACTGGGCTCTGGAGGTTGCAGTAACTGTCAGGCTCTTAACCAAGGGTTATCAGCCACTGGGAGAAGCTGTCTCAGGCCTGGTCTATCCTCCTGACAGGCATTACCTAAGTACGGCCATTCCCACCCACCAGAGGCTGTGCACAGAGCCACAGGAAGAAGATAATGCATGTTTTTTTTTTTTTTATCATCATCCTTAGACCATCTTCTTAGAAAATTGAAGCTAAGAATCATTTTTTGTATATATGACCAGAATCAGTTGGTAACCAAAGCAGAAGAGACGTGCTATTGCCTGGTAATTTCTGTCTGAATAAATTTTTCTGATCTGACAGATGAGGGAAAGAAGTTCTTTTATCCAGACACAATTTCCAGTGTTATTTCCCCTAATTGTAGGCAGTGAGCTATCAGAGGCAATTCTGGTTTAAAATAGGAAAATTTTACCCTTTCCTATTTGAGTGATAACAGAATAACCAGTATTTTCTATGCATTCTTCAGAGTGCTCCAGAGAAAAGTGAACCAAACGCAGAGACAGAGACAGGGTCTGAGATAGAGGGAGAAGAATTGTGGCCCCAAGGAATACAGGGGATAAAGTCTTACATACTCTCTAGAGTTCCTGGCTTTACTCCCAGTGGAAAATACACCTTGAACTGACTTGGGGGCACTTGCCATTTTTGCCTGGTTTTCACTGTGGTAATGAGCAAGACCACAAGCTGAATTTCAGGATTTTGTCCATAACCTTGAAATAAGATTTTTCTCTACCTGAAAAATGCCATAATTATGACAACTATAGAGTAAAAGAATATGGAATATTTAATATCAAAACAGCAACCAAGAAGCTTGGTTATTATCCAAAGAAGTCTTTTGCTTTTTATATAAGCAATAAAATTATTTGTGTCAGCAGAATTAAAGCTAATTTCTGTGCAAGTAGCATTTCAGCCACTCACTGAAGATATCTAGGAGTCAACCTTCAGGAGGTGGTTACACAGCGAAAGACCCAGCAGGATGGTGTTTCTGCATCAGCTAGTATTATATGGGAGGCCAAGTTTCTGAAGATGTGTGGGGGCTCTATGTGGAAGATGCCTTTTCTGTAGCTTGAGTTTTGCTTGAATGCAAAATCTGCCCTAGGAGGATCCCTGGAATATTGCTTTAAGAGGACTCTGTTGATGTTTTCATGTGATGACTTATTGAATCCTCTCATATCTGACTCACTAATCACTGATTATTTATGTTATTAGGAAAATTAGGCATTTTGTCTCCCTCAAGAAGCTGTGCTGTACCACTGACAATAATAAGCAGGTACGGTATTCAGCCTCCTCCATCGCTTTGTCAGCTTGGCCATGTATTACATTCTCACCAATGTTCTCTGCTTGTCTTGCACCATAGCTTATTGTAGTTGCCAACTCAGAAAGTTTATGGGGAAATTAGACATTTTGAATTACCCTACATGCCTGTCTTACTTTATCAGGATTACACATTTGTCATACTATGCCTTATGGCTGACCCTCCAGGCTTCTGTATTTTATGAGAGCATAAAATTCTTCCTCCAAACAACAAAAAAAGTTCTATTTCTTATCTTAATTTATTAAACAAATGAAAAGTATATATCCATTTGAACATTTCACTCCTACAATTCACATCCCAAATGAGAATTATTCTAAATTAGCATTGTGAGTTTTTTCTTGCCATTACATCATATAAAGCAATATATTTGAATGCTGCCTTCTGAAATGGAATTTTAATAAGTTACCACATTTGAGAACATTTTAGGGTAGTTTTTATCATAGAGAACATTGTTAAGAGTATTTTCTTTTATGTGATTTATACTTTTATATTTGATCATGTGGATTTTCATCTCTTGCTTTCTAATTTGTTGATTAAAAAGCATGCAATAAACATAGTTCCCAATGAGCCATTTTTGAAAACTTAGAAAATGTGACCTTTGGTTGTTGAAGGTTTTCAAAGAAAGGACTGTCTCTAAAAGATTTCAGAGGCATCTGGAGCATAGTCTGTTCTTACCATTTTGAGGTGCAGGATGAGTTGAGTGAGGCCTGGCCAGGTGAGGAATTGGACTGGGCTGGCAGGACTGGAGCTGTCAAGGCTCCTTCCTGAGAGAAGAGGTTTCAGAGATACAAGGTCGGGTCTAGCAAGCCTCATGGAACCTCTGGACATTAAAAGGATACATACTCATGTGCCTATTCATAAGATTTAGTCCAACCTGAAATGCTTCCTTTATACTGAGAGCCTTATTGGAAAGTCAGGAAGTTTTCTGCTAATACCACAAAGTCATGCAGGGAGGCAAGTCCATAGAGACCTGAGACAGGAAGAGAATGAACTTTTGTAGGGGGAAAAAAAATCATTAAACAGCCGAATAGAGACCTGCCAAAAGGAAGAGAGAGGCCTGCATCAGAGGTGACGTAGAGGGGAGGACCCAGAGGGACAGGCAATCTTGGTGTCCCGTTAGGGATAAACTACTGCATTCAGGCAGACAGAGCACCATTTCTGGACTGTGGATCTGCAGAAGAGGACACAGGTCCACCTGGACTCATTTGTTCTCATACCAGAAGTTAACCAAGTACAGCTTATGAATAAATCAAGCACGCCCTTCCCCAACCAACTCAGCCTTGCTCTTCTTCCTCCCTTCCTTTCTTGCCTAATGGAGGGGATCTTCAGTCTTCTTGTCACAGACTCAAATCCTGAGTCCTTCATGGTCCAGCCCTGGAAACATTAAGTAGCACTTCCCTCCCCAAACCTCCAAAGTACTTTCTCAGCTTTGTACCCCACATTGTCATAGCTATTTGTGAGCTGAAGTGCCCTCCCCTGACTAGCAGGCTTTGTGTGCCCAGCTGCCTGGCACATAGTGGGCCCTGGAGCTGTTGGTTAGCTTGAATGAAATGAAATGTCTCAGTTCTAGCCTCTTGCCAGCTGTGAAGCCTCTGCCATGCAGAAAAAGTGGACAAGCTGTTAGCACAGAACTTCAGGATATAGAAGTGAGGGGCCACCTCGTCTTTTCTGTGGCTGTAAATAGAAACGCTTTTACTACCATGAATCAGCTGCTGTTCTGAGAAGAGTGGAAACGCAGAGCTCTGATATCCCGAGCCATTGACGTCACCTAATAGTGTTGCACAGGCCTAGAGAGACTCTTAGATTTTCCAGTAATAAAGCATTTTTGTCCTTCTAGCTGGCTGCAGTGCTTCTCCTCCTCATCGAAGGAGGCTGAAGTATGGGGTGGCGGACTCTGTGCTGGGGAGGGCTCCAAACGGGAGCAGCCTGTCCGCAGGCGTTTGTGGTGCTGCTTTCTGGGGCTCAGCCCTGACGTCAACATCGACCCATGGATTTTCATTTTAACAAGGAATAGAATTGAAAGCCAGGCAGCTACTTCTGGTCATGTTTGTCATCAGTAAAGATTTCTTTTCCTCTGTGAGCCCTGTAGTTTTTTGCCAAGAGGCTGGAAATTCTCAGCGAGTTTGTCTGCCGTAAACACCATCTCTCCTTCCACCCCACACATACTCTCCCCAGATGTCTACCAAACACCTGCTCAGTGCTGGCATTGGGGACAGTGTCTCTGTCCCAGAAGTCATGGGGCCAAAACAGGTAAGAGATTACTCAGAACCAGGACAGGGGAAGAGCAAACTGAGACTGGAGATGTGCACACCCAGGGGGAATGGAGGCTGATGGTGGGCAGCCAACTGCAGCCAAGGTGGCTTCCTTGGTAAACACAGCTCTGTTGGAACATGGCCAGCCCCTGTGTGGCTGCTGTCACACAGCAGTAGAATGGAGCAGCTAAGGACCCGTGGCCTGCAAAGCCTATTACATTGGGTGTCTGGCGCTTTACAGATGTTTGCCTACTCCATTTATAGAAGATAATTTTGGACAGCTTTTATCTCGCTTGTGCACTGCCGTGTCCTGGCTCAGCCCCTTTAGGCTACCAGGCTAAGCATGTGAGGGCCTAGGACCCCTGAAGCTTTTGCCTTTTCATGAGGTCAAATTTCACATTCAAATATGTGATGCAGACGGTGGAAGTGCATGGATCTGTGGCCGTAGTCAAAGTCACACGTGCACAGGGAAAAGAAGGCAAGCAGAAAAAGGAGGACCCCAACTGAACCCCAGCTCCATCTAAGCTAAACTGAAACCCGGCCTGGGGAAGGGCAGCCTGGTCAGCTGCCCTCCTTCCCACAATCCCTACAGTGCCCACTCCAGCCTCATCACACAGCATCCCCTGTGCTCACTTTCTCCTCCAAGTCTTGGCCCTGAATATAGGGAGAGAATGGTGGTCCTGAAAGCCAGCATGCTAGTGGCAGATTTGTAGTCCCCAGAGAGAGTGTGGGAAGGTAGCAGGTGGGAGAACTAGGTTGCAGTTTGCAGTATCCTTCAGATACTGCACCCTCACCAGAGGGTGACACACAGGGCATGGAGATAAGCCCTCAGGGAGGTGCAGGTGTCACATGTTCTATAAGAACAACTGGCTTTCTTACAAAGTCAGGGAGCACAGCACACATAATGAGAGCTCTGGGAAAGTCTGCCCTTCCTGGGTATTTATTCAGAGGAAGGACATGGCCAGGCACACAGGAAGCATTCTGCTTTCTGGCTAATCAAAGATCCAAGACTATAGCTGACTGAGAGCAGAAAGAAGCCCATCTGACCTGATGTTGCCCTGGGCTTTGTAGAAAGTGGGGGCCCTTCTTGGGAGCTCCATTGACTCTCCTCCTCAACCTCCTTCCATGGCAGGAAAGTTGTTTGAACCTGAGAAACAGAAAGAGCACAGTCTCTGAGTGGAGAGCAGCTATTTAACTTGAAGGAATTAGGCTTTGTGGAAACCCTGTTTCTTCCCCTGCAGGCTGATGCGAGCATTATCACAGCCTAACCTCAGCCAGACTGATACTTGGGAGTCACAGCTTTAAGAGCGAGTCACATACACAACTTTTGAGAACAGTAGAGACAGAAATAGGAACTGAGATGGCCAAGTTTACAATGACAAAACCTCACTTTGACATACAAATTTTAGAGGTTCGTGCACATTTGATTTCATAGTTAGCTAATCTTAAAATTGTACAGATTAGTAGAACTTTAATACTAATACATAAGACAAAGATAGAGGCGTCTAAAATGAGATGTGAGGGGAACAGGAAGGAGAGAGAACAAGGTTCTCAGTATCGTAAAAGCTTTGTGTGAGGAAGGAGGGTCTGGGCCCTGAAGGTAAAAACAGAGTCAAGCTTTAGGGAATCATGTCAGATTCAACATAGGGAAAGCACTACATGATAGAACTGACAAAAGTTGATAGCCTTAGTGACCAGCAAAACGTCCCTCTAGCCCTGCCTTGGGAGGTAATCACATGGTAAGCCCAGCACTCACTGGGAAAATCTCTGAGTAATTCACAGGAGGCTAGACTAGATCAGTGGTTCCCAAAGGGTGGTCCCTGGGAATTTATTGAATTCTGAAATCAAAATCTCTGGGGCTGGGCCTTGGCCCCCTGTTTTAACAAACCTTCAAGTGTGCTGAAGTTTGAGAGGTACGGGCCAAGATGAATGGCTCGGACTTGGATGGTGTAAACTGTGATCATTAGTCTGAGAGCAGGGTCTGTTCTGGGTTAAAGATAATCAAAAAAGATTGTTCTTAGTATCTTTGTGACCCTTGGGGTCTCCCCCTCCAAAATTATGATTCCATGTAAAGTTTTGACCTATATATAAAATAGATGTCTCATACAGTGTTACAAAGAACATTTGCTTATTCTTTGAGGCACATGTCCAAAATTTAAAAAAAAAGCAACTAAAACTTGAAACATGCCCTCAATTGCCTCTGAAAGTGGTTCTTCACATTTAGAAGTGTATTTTTAGACCATTGATGTATTACCATGAGGCAGAGTTTGTATATATGTACCTTCCTCACAGCAGGTGTCCTGAATATTTGTTGATATATTTGGTAAAGCCACTAAGTAAACAAAATTATCCAAATTTTTCCATTTAACTTTAGTACATATTTACAAGAAGCTATTTACAGAAAGGCCTTTGATATTGAAAAAACACATTTTTCCTGAGAAACCACATTTTGAATAACCAAACTCTGAACAGACCTAAATGGAGTACCTGCTGTGTGGCAGGAACCAAGGGAGACTCTGAGGGTACAAGATACAAAAGCTTACAGCAGGGAGAGGGGACATGGGAAAGACACTGGAATGGGTACATGGGAAGGTCTTGCCTCAGAAGAGGAGAAGACCGTTTCATGGCTAGTGTTGGTGGTGACTGCTGAAGCTTGTCATGACAGACTTTGTGAGGCCCCAAAGGTATAAAGCTAAGAGGGAG